GAAAGAGAATAAAATCATTTTCTACAGTAGCGCTGTCTGATAAAAATATAATGAGAGCCACGTGTAATTTTTAAAGGTCCAGTAGCCACGTTAAGAAAATAAGCAGAAGGGGAAATTAATACCTTTCATTTAACCCAGTATATCCAAAACACTGGCATTTCAACATGTATAAGAGGTTTACGTGTAAAGAACATGTAAAGAAGTTTCCCACTGCTTCAGTTTTTATGTTTAAATTAAATTAAAACTTTGGTTAATCAGCCACATTTCAAATACTCAATCGCCACATGAGGCTAGTGGCTATGGTACTGAAAAGTACAGACTAAATAAAACTGTAATTCAGATATTCTCAAACTCTTCTGGTCAAAGGACCCTTTTACACTCAGATTACTGAGGACCACAAAGAGATTTTGCTTATGTAAGTCCCATGTTTAGATACTTATCCTATTTGAAATTAAAGCTAAGAAAACTTTAAGTAATATGCTTATGAAAAATAACTTTTCTAAAACAAAGAACAATTTAGAGAGTAGCTTTATTTTACATTTTTGCAAATCTTTTTAATACATGGTAAAAAACAGTTGGATTCTCATACTTGCTTTTTCATCCGATCTGTTCTATCAAGCCACGTAGCCTCTAGAAAACTTCTGTGAACACTTGTGAAAGTGAAAAGGCAAATAATGTCTTAGCGTTACCATGAAAACAATCTGACTTCACGGACCCCCTGAAAGAGTCTGGGGAACTCCCAGAATCCCCCATACCAGAGATTTTAGTATTAAAAAACTGCAGCTGTAATTTATTATCAAATGTAATCAACAACACCCAAATTCCATCCTCATGTTTCTGTAAGTTTTAGCTTCTAAACATAAAATCAGTGTGTAGATGAACAATTATGATTCCATTTCCATAAGTACAACAGTACTTTGTCGACTTACACATGAAGGATTTTTTTTTAAACTCTTCATAAATCAAAAACACTCTCCTGCCTGCCTCTCTACCAATTAAATTTGTCCCTAAAGGAAACTGATGTTGGATTACCCTGAATGACTCTTTACACACTGATGTTACTCTTTAACTCAATTTCTGTATGAATTTTAGTACTAATGCTGCAATGAATTCTAAAGAGTAACTTCTTAAACACACTTGCAAGTACAGTTTTAAAAAATTTATGCCATTCTTCCAATTTTATTTCAACACATGCTTCATCTTTTCATAGCCTGATAAATTTTTTTTTTCAAATCGATGTTCTTTTCAAGACTGATACTAGATATTCCAGTTTACAGTAAATTAGAAGATTTTCAAGTTCAGATTTCATGATGAATTTTGACAAACTAGACAGATTTGTTCTGTCCGTAAAAATACTTAAGGCTGCGTTTCCAGAAGGATCTCCCCCTTCCATTCAATAACCGTGTTAAAGTAGACCAATACTTCTTTCCTAAGAGTTACCCTATTTCTCAATTCTCAAATTCTCCACTTTCTCAATTTTCAATTTCTCAAAAAAAGGAAGAAAAAAGTCAAGGAATGCACACTTGAGAATAAGAAGGCAGAATATTTTAAATTGAAAACCTTCCAGAAAAGTCAGGACACATGTACACAACGCTTTCGCATAAGTATTCATAAAGTAACATTCATATTTTCCTAGAGACTAGAAATGAGCTTAATTTACTAAACAAACTATATCATAGTCTTACTCAACGTACAGACATGGCCTCAAGCTCCAATTTGGTCCAAAGATTGGCAAAAGAAATTAGCCCCTCCCCATTACATAACGACCTTACAGACAAATTCACTCATAGAGTGTAATGTAAAGAAATCCAAGCAAAAAGAGAACCTTCGCTTTCCATTAAATATTTCTGAGCCACCTATAGTTTCAGAGTTTTAAAAGTTATTAGGGATCACCTAGTCAATGCTGTTCTCTTACAGAAAACGAAGCCTTAAAGAGCTAGTTTAGTGACAGCTAGCTGAAGATCCTTATCTCCTGACTTCAGGGTCAAGGCTCTTTCAAGGCTCTTTCTCGTTCGGACACCATGTTGCCAGTGAAAGTTTTATAAAGTATATCAAGTCTTTACCACAAAAAATATTTTGTATGTGAAAATGAAAGTGATTTTTAGTAAATAACCTTATGTATTTCATTCTTTATTCAAATGCCTCTGACAGCATACATGTTGATAACTAAAGCGAAAGCTGATGGCTAAAGTTGATAGTTAAGTCTCTGAAGGGAGGAAAATAAAAGCAAAACTATATCCTCTAGCATCTTAACGTCTAACAGTAATGGTAATTCTAAGTGCTTTATACTTACTTAGAAACAACAGTTATGCTAACAATATTCAATTTAAAGCTTATCTCCTCTAGAAGTTTTCCTTAATAGCATTCTACACTTACCAGGAACCCATACAGCAATCCCTGTAGTTATATTAACATTTACATATTATACAGATTTTCATCTGTCTCCTCAATTAGACTACATCTTCGGGAGCAAGAATTACGTCTAACACTTGATGACTTCCCTCAAGGGAATGAAAAGATACCATTAAGTCCATATGCAAATACAAACCTTACAAACATTACCCTCCCAACATCATTGGAAACTGGCAGCAATAAGAATTTAGATCCACGATTCTTCATTTTCTGGGCCACCTTTCCTCCTCCACTTTTAACTCACTGAATAAACCTTGGATAAATCAGCAAACCTGTCTCAAATTTCCTTCTAAAATAGGGTTTATAAAGGAACTTCAGATTACACGAATATGACTTGAGAAAATAATTTGAAAATGGTTATATGTAATATGTATTCTTTACAGAACATTATAATCACAAAGGAAGTTTCAACTGTAAGGTTTCTATGTACTAAGGAAATGCAGTAGAACTGGAAAACAACATTTAACTTAAAAAAAAAAAAAAAACCCTGATCAAAAGAAGATAAAACTTTTGTATTTTTGAACTGTAGACTGTCTATATGTTAAACTGTGTATACGTATCCACTCCAAGCAAAATATCTACAGGTAACGTTCAGTTGTGACGATAATTCCAAAAGCTTATGACAAAAATACCTTCTCTTGGCAAAATTAAGCCCTCTTACGTTTACCTTTACAAAATTCTAACTGCGTGGAGTATTCTAAGGTTCTCACAACCACTGGGAACATTTCCGGAAAGGCCCATGTTCAGCACTACTGACCCAAACAATCCATAAAGTATTGTTAGTACCAATAATATAAAGCCAAAAATTCCATGCCTTCATTCATACAGTATTAATGGACTGGACGTACACAAAGAGATCAAGTTCTCATTGTGCTCTGCCTCCTTTTCCCTAATATTTAAGTTCTTGCTCTAATCAGAAAATAACTGTCAAATGCATTTTAATCACTACTCAGTAAACTGTGATTTTCTTCTTTGGGACCGTGTAGCGTTCTATTTTACAGATTAAGTTCTGTTAAGGGTACATGTAAGTTTATGATTTCTCCCAAACGAACTGAATCACAAGAGTTTCACCAACCAAACGACTAACTCCCCAACCTAAAAACAGTGGATGGAAAACAGCCGGTAAGATCCTTTACAGCAATCCTCGTCGGTGACTCTTCCCCATCTTCCAATTCCCATCGATGGCGATATGAAAGAGAAGCCAGGGAAAGGAACACTGACGCTCACTGCAGTAGGTAAACCGTACTCAAGCTCCGCTACGCCGACTCAGGGCCCTCGCTGCGCTGTCTGCTATTAAGGAAAGCCGCTTTCTCTATGTAACTTAAGTCCGTGCCCTTCCGCTGCAGCAGAGGCGCCGCACATCCCCCACCGCCGCGGCCACTTCCGTGTTTACACTCCTCTTCCCTCCAATTCCATGCGTACATTGTCAGCTTCACTCCCGCCCAATCTTCATTGGCCCGCCGCGGGCCAGGAGTCCCGCCCCCAGAAACCAACGCTCTTATTCGGAACATCGCAGCGAGCGGATTGGAACCCGAGGCCTGTCAATCCCAGCCGTTCTGTCCTCTCCGAGGCGCTTCCGCTGTGGTGGGAGGCTTGGGGGGGAGGGGGAAAGGGGGCAATTCCGTGAGGAGACTTCCCTGGGGCCAAGACTCCCTCCCGCCCGCCCCGCTCCTCCACCTTCACCCGCTGTTTACAAAAATAAACGTTCTTCTCTGACGCCCCAACGCTCCAGCGCAGGGGTACAAAACATACTCCGTGTCCTTCCCATCCTCCCCCCTGAAAAACCCACCCACGAGGCAAGGGGCACAAGCCTACTTCTCCACAGCCGCCCACTGAACCAGGAAAGGGAGGCGGGCCCCCGAGAGAAACACCCCCCCAGGCCACTCCACGTTATTAAGGGACCCTCTCGAGAACCGTTACTCCCGAGCCCGCACAAGGTGGGGATGTGAGGAGGTGGGTCAGAGCAATTTTTTTGGCGGGTATCGGTCTACCGGACGTGGCCCGGCGCTGCCTCGTCCGCGCGGAAGTCCAGGACTTGCGGACCAAGTCTGAAAGGAGAACGGGGCGGGGGTGGCGAGCGTCCACCGGAGAAGCCCGCCGCCCCCGACCGCGGGCAGCAGCGGCCTCTGCGGCCAGACAGCGTGGCAGGCGCAGCCGGGAGACAACAGCCTCACTCACTTCCTGGTTCCTCGGCAACTGGGGTGAAGCGCACAACTCGTCCGCCCCCGAGTCCCCAACTTAACTGCGGCTCGGCTGCCCGCCACCCGCTGCCAGCGCTCCGCCCGGCAGCCGCCGCCGCTGCTCCACAAACCCACCCTGAAGCGACAGCGCCGGATTTGAGGCAGGTTACTCTCCAAGGTGATCACTTCCTGATTCGTCGCCTCCATTACTTCATTCACAACCCCCCTTTCCCCCGGCCGCCCCGGTGACCGAAGGGGACACCGGACCCCCTGCACTGACCGCCACAGGGGAGCCACCCCGCCCCCTGTGCACCCCCTCTCCTGCTGCACCGATGCACGGGAGGAAAGTTCCCCTGTCCTTACCAGCCCGGATGAGCAGATCCAGCTGGTTCGTGGGTCCCTCATGCAGAGACGTCGCCATGTTTATCCCGGGGCTGGAGCTGCTGCTTCACATTGACTTACACCGTGAGCAGCGGCGGCAGGGGAGGAGGCGGAACCCGCGGCCGGAGACACACGCCGTGCGGCCGACACACACTCGCGGCGGCGGCGGCGGCCGCCTCGGCTGGCAACGCGATCCTTCCGCCCCGCGCCCAGACAGGAAGTCCCGGACGCCCGCCCCAGAGAGCGGCCGCGGCCCGCGGCGCGCAGGACACCTGAGGCAGGGAGTCGTCCCGGGGGCCGCGGCTGGGACGAGGCCCCTCGGCAGGAAGACGCACGTTTCACACACTGCGGAAGAGAAGTCTGCAGTCGTCCCCACGCTAGAAGAGAGCCATTAATCAAATTTTCTTTCTGGAAGAGCTCTAATGCCCAGTCCCGCAGCTGGGACGGAAAGGTGGCTAATTAATTAACTTGTTGGGCCGTGTCCAAGTGTAGGCTGCGTGTAAGCCGTTCACTTGAAAGCGCTGCGCTGTAAAACACGCATACCAGCCCCAAAAGTCAGACCTACAAAATGTTACCCAGGCTTTCCTGGGACAAAGTAAGGGGCTTCCAACCACTCTCAGGGACCGACTTCGCCCTCTTCCCTCTACAGAGGTATGGAAAAGCACACTAGACAGGTGTTTATTAGCAAACAGAACATGCCAACCTCTGAGAGATTAGATTATCCTCCCCCAGTTGGCTAGCCATGAAATTTATGTACCCTCCTACATTTCTATTTGGTTCGCTCGGAAACAAACGAACGTATTCACTTATATCATCTACTTTTAAAGATCTTTTTGATAAAACTAACCTTATTACAAATAACGTACATATTAAATACAGTACACGCCGGAGCTAGATTGCCGTTTAGTGACTATAGACTTACTGACAACACAGAAAACCAAGCCTATAAAATGACCCAGATGAAGCTTCATTAAAACAAACACAAAAAATGCTTCCCTGGGTTCAAAATTTCATAATATAAAAAAAACTGAAACAAAAGGTTGCCTATAGTTGTTTCTCCACACAACGTAAAACAGTGCCTCCTACAGAGTAAGTGTTCAAAAAGTTATTTGCTGAATAAACACAAAAACGATTTGGTCGTTACGAATTTTAAAGAACAAGGTGTAATTTTTATGACTTAAATTGAATGAACTGTGATGATAACTAGAGAAAAAAGTGTTTTACAGGGGTAATATTAATACTATATCGTTTTACAAATGTTTCCCCAACATGTGCAACCTCAGAGTTGATTCCACAGCCCATGACTTTGCTTTTTTCATTTCTTCTAAATACTCATTTATGCTTTTGGGCCTTTCCCCTAGCCCTACCACCATGATCCCCACCTTCCCAAAAAAGAACCCATATGCCATTCCCAAAGTACAGTCCCCCTGAAACCAAACAGGGGTCTCTTCCTTGCCACCTATTAGACAAAAGAAACTGTTATGACTGGTAGCTTTTATTTTTTATTTTCTAGTCAATTTAAAATAAGAATCATCCATTGACCGGCAGCATCATAACCTGAGACAGTTTCCAGGTGAGAGGATGGTGAGGCACGCTAAGGGGCTAATTGCTAGCTTTAGGCAGGACACTGAAATTGATAGCAAATCTGAATTTCCACTCTTATCAATCATAGATATTCGTGTATTTAGAAAGGAAGAGAGTAATGTAAGCCAAAGGTGTGTTTCTTCTGGAGGCGACAGCTTGACTTGGCTCAAAAAGAAGAACTCTTCTCACTGTGGGAGTCAGTTTGAAGCCTGACACGTAACTTTTTCCTCACTCTTTGCTTCTTGAGGGTTAGCTTTTAAAGAAAGATAACGGTGTGTGTCTGTGTATTTCACTCTCGGTGCATCTTAATTATATGGACTCATATCAGCCTTATATTTTAAGTTCCAAGTGAACAGAAGCTGTATCTATTCCTGCATAATACTTCACAGTTAGTATACACACATATATAGTATTTATGCATATGTGTGTATATATATATTTATAGAAATTAATGCAGAAAGGCTGGGAAATATTCCTATATATTTAAAGCTCTTATAAAAACACAATTCCCTGGGGTTTGATGCAATTCTGTCTTGCTACTATAACTAGGCTTTCAAAAGCCACCAATACTTTTTAGAGACCAGTAATACTATACTAGGACTAGCAAGCAAGGTGAGGCTGCTGCTGGAAACATAAACTGGTACAAACTTTCAAGAAAGCAATGAGTATTATAGATCAAGAGTCTTAAAGAGGTAAATATCAATATATACTGATCTAGGAATTTCATTTCCGGGGCCTAGCCTGAGGAAATAATCAAAAAATGCAATGGATCGTTTTAATAAAAACATGTTTGAAGAATTTTTAATATGGTAAAATATTAAAAATATAAATGTGGCAGGATTAAAATATACAGTATGTCCCCTACATACAAATGAGTTCCATCCCGAAAGCACGTTTGTAAGTCCAATTTGTTTCTAAGTCCAACAAAGTTAGCCTAGGTACCCAACTAACAATCAGAGGGCAAGCTGCAATTTCACTCGCGTCTGACACTGATGCAATGCATGTTCGCATTTTTGAAAGTTCACAACTTGAAGGTTCGTATATAGGGGACTTACTGTATATGCATTTCTTCCACACAATATGACTCAAGCCATGTAGTATATGTGAATATGTGTACATAACATGTATATGTGTGTATATATACACACATTCACACACACATCGGCATTTCTCAAGTCTTCAAGGTTAAGCAGAATTTTCTCAAGTACTAATGAGTAGAATTTTAAAAATTGAATAAGACTAGGTAGGTTAGCCTGGTGGATACCTTAGAGCATATTCTGCTAATAACATTACAGAAAGGCAGACTCTACATCAAAGTTATTGCTGTGATCTAGTAGGTAAATAACAGCTAAGTCTTATTGAAATAAAAGCCACCAAGATAAGTGCTTTACCTTCATTTTTTTCACTTATTCCTCTCTACATTCCTGTAATAGATATTACTATTGTGCTCATTTTATAGATGAGGAATCTTGACGAAGGTCATAGTGTTCAGGAGAAGCAGAGCCGGGATTTGAACCCACGAACTCTAACTCTAGAGCCCTTCCTCTCAAACACTCCCCAAGCACCAAAGTAACAAGGCCTCTGTATCTGCTATGATGCATTTAGTACCTACTGATTTTCTTTTCTGAAAATTCTTTTATATTCCTCCCTTCAAGAGGTGGAATCTAACTACGCGCTCTCCCTTTGAGTGTAGGCTGAACTTAATGACTTCAGAAACTGTCTGCTTGATCTCTTGCTTTGGGTCACTCAGAGGAAGCCAACTGCCCATTAGGCAAGGAACAATGGCATTCTGCCAACAGTCATGCGACCGAACTCTCTAGGACACAAACCCTCCAGCCCTAATCAAGCCTTCAGATGATTCCAGCTTCATGAAAGATCCTGAGTTACGAGCCATGCGAGTAAGCCAATCCCCAATCCTTAATCTCAAAAACTATGTAACATTGATATAATGTTTATAGTCTTAAACTGCTAAATTTGGGACGATTTGTTAATCAGCAAAAGATAATTAATATAGAAGAAAGGAGCAGTTTAAACTCCCAACTTCTCACATTTCACAGCTTAAAGAAAGAGGGTAGAGTTTAAAAATGGCCTCTTTCAACTACAAAGTCCTGAGCAGTTTTTTCCATGTCTTTCTTCATAGTCTGAGCATCAATTCTTTCATCCTCCAGCCTCTCCGTTTTAAAAATAAGTCTTCAGAATATAATCATTATCATTAAAGTCTAATAGAACCAAAAATAATTAGATACCCTTGGCTATTTGAATGATTTTATGGTCCTGTAGTAACCAAGATGGAAAAAAATTTTGAGAGATATGTAAATATCCAGTTGTTTCCACACCATATAGGTTTTAAATGTTTTGACTTATAGCTTATTCTGGTTATTTCCTTTGTATTTTTCCTTTATCTAGTAAACAGAATCATAAAAGGTTATGGTTGAAGAGATGCCTGGAGACAACATCACCCAGAGGTTTTCAAAAAATTAAGGAAGGGCCTGAACATCATCATCCCTTTTCCTGACTACCATGAATTAAATATATTAAATTTTAAAACCAAATATATAACTGTGTGCTCTATCAGATACAAGTACCAAGGTCAACAGGCTTCAAAGTTTAAAAAAAAAATTACAGGTAGGAATCAAAGGGAGGAGACATTCTACCCATTTTATGTTATTTTCCTATAATTTGGGAGAGGGATGCCAATTTCCTATTTTAGTAATGACAGCTCTTTAACCACCAACGGTAGAGTTATTTGAGAATCACTGATTTAATCCAATGCCCTAATTTTACACATCAGGAAACTGAGGCTCCAAGAAGTTAAATAAGTTAACCGAAGTCACATGGTATATAGCTCACTATTTCAAGGTTAAAAATTCTATAAAACAATCTTCTATAAAACTTAGAAGTTACAAAATGGATGAAAAGTTAAATCCATTTTACTATTATTATATAAATTATAAAGTGGTTGATGTTTTGCTTTTTAATGTCAAAGCTAGAGCAATGGTCAAGAGTCTTTCTGAGAAATGAAGAAAAAAATGGAAAAAAAACTTTGAGCAGTAAATGGTAGGAGAACAATAAGAGGGGGTCAAACAGTCTGATGCAGCTGAACTAACAATGAAACTCAAAGCTGGGGTATGGTGTGTTGGGCATGTTTAGAAGGAAAAAAAAAGGTAGGAAAACTAAGGTCTAAGAAAAAATATGTCTATCAAGGGCAACAAGCTGGACTCAAGCTGGACTCAAGAGATTTAGGACCATTAAGTAAAGACTGGTTCATCAATACTGGAAGACAGACGACAGATACAGGAGTGCAAGTCTACAGCTTTACAAAGACAAAAGATGGACTATTTCATATGTTTTATACTTACTATAGGTTTAATTCACTGCTTTCAGTTTTTTATACTACTGATTCATTTTATTTAATAGTTAGGTTTTATAAAATAGTATTAAAGTGAAGATGTTTGAATCCATGGTCACATCTTCATTCATTTATTCCATAAATAATTACCCAGCACTTACTTTGAGCAAGTTTCTGTTGTAGGCACCTATTGCTACACCTGGTGGCACTGAATTACATAACAAAA